GAGACTAAAAATTGCTCATGTACCATAACACAAACCCAGGCTCTGAAGTTCTGCTTAATAACTGTACTCTGTCATTCTCTAAACTACTCCAGGAAAACAAGAACCGAGATAAAATGTTCCCCAGGGTCTGGAAAGATCAAAGAGCAGCAGGACTTAAGAGAGTCTGGTCACCACAGCAAGTAAAAAATCCCATATGTCGTTTATCAGTAGCTTCTATGGAATTTAAACATTTCTTTTAAAGTCTGTGCTTGCTTTCACAGGCACAGGGCAACACAAAAACAGAGTATTTGTGCAATTATGTTCCATCTTTCCTGAAATTACCAGATCAAATTATGTTCTCAAGCCCTGCTACAGATGTCAACAATTATGGACCTCCATCACAGGTCAGATGCAGTGCTAACAGTGTTAGCTACCTTATACACCCCCTGGGAGCTCCCCAGTCTCCTTTTACTCAAAGACCCTGCCAATATTACAACTGACTAGAAGCTTTGAAACAGAAATATTAATCCAGTTCTCTTTGTTGCATTAGATTAAATGCTATTTTTAAGGTGCCTTAAGTTCTATCCATTACTGACACACATATCCAACCCCCCTTTTGCATATTTCAAATACAACGGTCAAAGCTCCATCACTGCAGAATGCTGAAGATCTGAGAATGTCTTTTTTCTGAACATTTTGAGTTCTTCAACTCTACCAGATACATGCTAAACAGCAACTGCAAAAGACACAGATGGTTTCTTCGTCATCACTAGAGATGCAGAATGAAGGCAGCAAGAATGCAAGGGCAGCCTGGCCTCTCTCAGGAGCATCTGTGAGGAGAAGAATCACAGACCTTCTCTAGTGGCTATGAATGTCTGAAAAATGGCACTCCCATTTTAGTAAAACTTAATAATCTAAATAAAGCTGAAAAAAAGAAGCTACTAGGATACATTTCTCACTATAGCACTGCTCCAAGCTGTGGGTAGGGACCAGGAATAATCTTTTAGCTACCACTGAGATTTTTTTCTCTTCCAATTTAAGATGAACCAGAATCTATGAAGAAAAATGGAGAGATTTCCTTCTGTGACATAAAACTGGGATTTTCTAAAAGGTTATTGAGATATCTAAAATACACAACTAAAGAAAGTTCTGGGTAGGCATAAAAAAGCTGAAATTCTTTATTTTACAGAGTACAAACCCCCAAAACCATATAACCAGGACTTATTCCCACTAAGTAGCATAGAAAACATGAAGCAAAAAGGCAGACATGGGAACAGAAATCATTGCTAAGGGAAAAGGAACAAAGAGGGAAAACCTATTGAAAATGGCATGCAGAAAGTGGTCTCTATACCCAATGTAAGAAAGATGCAGTCAAGTTTCACTGAAAGGGGATAAAGGAAGGCAAGTATGACTAGCTTCAATTTAAGGGCCTTAAAACGTATCTCAATAACCCTATTGCTATTAAGTACAGTTTGTTCTACCAATCCAAGTGGGGAATTATGGCAAGAACTATGTTATTTTTCATAGGAAACCACTAACAGTTGTTTCTAATGAAACAGTTGTTTCATTCATCTCTCAGATAGTGTAAATGATAATCTGAGACAGATTGCTTCCTGTGGCTTTCAGAGAAGCAGCTAAAATTGAACAGTGCTTGTTACCAAAACCTGAGTTTCTGTCTACATGAGAGCTTCCATCATAGTTGGTACTGAGATTTCTACTAGGGTTCAACTATGTCTGGCATAGACACAGCAAAGAAGGCAAAAGTCTGTTAATGGCCACTGCTTCAGTAGGGTATCAGCAACGATCAGTAAAACCCTGCCTACAGCAGGAAGTCACTTAACACATTTATAGTAGACTCTACATGGCACTTTGTTCAGATACTGACTGCACAAATGCATGTAGAAATGGACTGATGCCCCTCTGGCTCTCTCCCAGCCCTAACCAGACTCATTATGCAGTTTTCAATAGCAGCACTCTCCCCTTCAGTGCTCCAGGTCACCACTAAAGCAACATCAACTAGAAGAAAGCCATATAAAGTCAGCTTGTCTATGGAGAGACTATAAAAAACCCACATGCAACAAAACTCACATTTTGCCAAATTTTTTTGCCACAATCAAAACATCTTCTGGGGTACAGTGCTGGTCTGTGCTAGCAAACTGGGAAATAACAGCTCTCTGCTGTGGGAAGTTCAAGAGTCAACAGAATTTTTCCATCCCTGTGATCAGTAAAATGAGTCCTGACTCTCTACAAACAAAGTGTAAAAGCTGTTTATTAAAAATTATTTCTTTCAGTCATGTGAGAGTAGAAGAGAAGCATGCTGAGGAAAGTCTGTACCATCTCCCATTCCATCCTTGTCCATATCTCCCAATTTTCCTTCCAAAGTTTAACAAAGACTAGAATAATTCAAGTCTGCAAGAGACTATGGGTAAACAGTTTGAATTGTGGAGCAACTTATTTTGTGGGTATTTTTGGTGGGGAAAGATCAGACACATAAATCTTTTTAATTTGTTAAAGTTAGAAGTTACACTCCTCCTCATTAGCCAGTCTGTCCTCTAACTTTCACTTCTGCAACTTTGTAACTCCAAAATAATCATGTTAACACTCCTAAGGCTTGTTCAGCTATCAATATTAGAACCAAATGACATATATATGGGTATTATTGGAGAGAATTCTAGAATCTTAAAACACAAGAACCAGTCATTTGGTATTTTCTTAGAGTTAATTCCGTAAACAAGCCTGAAGTTGAAAGTTTCAAAGTATGAAAGATTTCTATGGGGGCTTGTTGATTTATCCGGATTTTTTAAAAAACTTTTGTGCCAAAAGGAAAACTGAAAATAATCATTCCTAATGCAATGCCTCAGTTAAAAAAAAAAATTAAAAGTATTAAAGGTCAATGTGTTTTTATCTGCTCCGAAAATATATCTGCTGCTGAAAAAGTATAGTAAGTAAAATTTCATGTGCTTCACTACATTATCTTATGAAGCAGCTGCAATTAAGAAGTCACTTGTGGCTAATAATTAATTTTCTGAAGTGGCAACTTCTCTCATACTTAGTGTTGAATAAAAGTCATAAACACACACTTATTAAATGCTTTTTAGAACTTAGAAAAACAAAAAAAAACTCAAAATTTATTTCCTGAGTATTTTTGAATGCAAAACAATTAAAAAAAAAAAAAAAAGAAAACTCAAATGTACTTACTTTGATAGGAGCTGTTGAGAACTTGACTTTTCGGTCTGGCGCTGGATCTTCCTCTTCAGAAAGTCCAGGAAACTCCTCGTATTCGCTGTCATACATATAATCCTCCTCTCCCTCCAAAATTTCTTTGCCTTCAGGCTCTTGGTTTTCTGCCTCTGGGTCCCTGTCATCATCAAAAGCTGCATTCTCTATTCCAAAATCACTTAAGTCCTCACTTTGCTTTTCTAACGCTTGCTCCTCTTCTTCAGTATCCTCTTCCTGCTCTAGAACATCCTGCACCTGTGTAACTCCACTATCTCTTACAGACATCCCATCTCTTTCTTCTTCCCAACTGGTCTTGCTGCCATCCATAAACTCTTCTACCACTTCCAAACCATAGTCGCTTCTCTTCCCTTCCTGTACATCACATATGAGCTCCTGATTCTCTTGATAAACGTGATCTTTCTCCAAGCCTTTTTTTTCATGCCCTGAGGTTTCATCTTGTGCAACCAGCTCTGTGCAAGTCACCTCTGTGGGAGAAAACGAGGAGCAAACACTATCTGGTATCTGCTGAGCCTCCTGAGCAGGCACACTGTCCATATTCCATTGGCTTCTCTCAAGTACCAGTTGCTCTCTTTTGTCTTTTCCAAGTGCCTTGCTTGGCTCATCTCTGCAGATCTCAGGCACTTTGGGGAATGCACCTTTCTCCAGACACCTTTCAGCAATAGCAGATGAATTCAAAGTGTGCTGGCCTCTCAAAGGGTCCTGATTTGGAGAACTATAATTTTTGGAAGTTTCTTTGGATTCTTCAGTATCACTGTCACCCAGAAAGCTTTCCAGTCTCCTAGAAATGGGCCCTGCATTCAGGAAGGAACATTTGGAACCACTATTAGCATGTTGCTGCTTCAACTCCTCATTACTTTGATTTTCAACTTTCCCTGGTGCTACTGGAGGACTTGCTTCTGTATTAAAACTGAAGTGGTCCACCACATTGCTGCAATCAGAAGCTGAACCATGTCTCCTCTTATCTTCACTTCTTTCACATTTGCTAGGGGAATATCTGTCCACCGAGCTCCGCTGTTTTATATTTCTCTCGAAGAGCTTCCTGGTCTCTGAAAATTTTTCTGCCAGGGCTACTTTGTCCAAGTCTGCCTCATCGCTGCTACGGATGACTTTATCAGCAGCAGAAGACACAGACAATGAATCCACAGGACTGCCACTGGAGCTGGTAGTTGTATTAAGAAGATTATTTTTTTGGAGAATGAGAAAAGATGGACTACCCGGAGACGATCCATACTCAGCTGCTGTGGCCCGGCTGATCAGTTTAGTCTCAGCAGGTGGACTGCTTTCACAAGAGGTTGCGGAAGAAGAGCTTCCCATTTGCAGAAACATATTTTTGATCTTGTGTACTCTGTTGCCATAAGTAGCAGCTCTGCCTCGACTGTGTGGGTCACTTCCCCCTCCATTGGAAGAGGTGCTCAGCTTCTGATGCAAGCCTGTTTTGTTGGAAGCGTTATCAGGATTGTTTACACCATCAAAAGAACATTTGATAGCATGGAAATCAGATTTGTAAGCATTTCGGTGTGGAGAAGCACTTCTTAAAGTCCTTTCTCCCTTGCCTTCGGTTTTCATCATTGTTGAAGAGAAAGCTCCCTCCACTCCTTACGAAGAATGGGAAGAACGATTCCCTAGCACAAAGCTTCCAGCCACTAGGCAGTGTAGATCCCACAGAAGATCCCAAAAGCAGCCTTTCACTTAGTCAGCCTCCCTACTCGTACTGAAATGGAACGCAGGGGACTCTACGTGGAGAGAAAGAAATCAAAGCTCGTGAATGGCCACATCGGGAGTTATCCCCAGCGCGGATCTCGGTATCCGGAAAGCCATCTGCAGAGACACAGAGAGTTTCCATTAACGCGGGGCCTCGCCGGCGTGTGACACGAATCCGAAACTCGGGGTGGGAATCGCAGCCCAAGATCTCTCTGCGGGATAAAGCCCATTGTGTCGGCCGGGACGCGCGGACCCAGCTGCTCCTTGAGCACCGACCTGACGGCTCTGGCGGGGGATGCGGCGGCGGGCGGCCGGCCCGCCACCTCCGGCTGCCGCCCCTCCGCCAAGGGCCGTCCCGGGCCGGGCCGGGCCAGGCCAGGCCGGGTCGGGCGGGGGGGAGGGCAGCGCCAGCCCTTCCTGCCGCCCGGGGGAGGCCGGGCCCGGCCGGACCGCGCGCCCGCAGCGCGGCGGGGCAGGACGGAGCGGCCCTGGCTCCCCGCGCCGCCCGGAACGGGGGAAGCCGCAAGGTTCGGCCCCAAGTTGGGGCTTCCCCGCGGGGGCGCTTCTGCGCCGCGGGGCCTGCGGGGCGCGCAGCGGAGCCGCCCCGGTACCTCGCCCCAAACTTTCCGAGCCAGCCTACCTGGGGGCGGGGGTCCTGCTGCCTCCTTCCCCTCAGCGTTCCCAGCCGCCCAGCGGCCGCACACACCACGCCATCATTATCCGCCGCCACAGCCGCCCGCCTTTCCCCTCTCTCTCTCCCTCCCTCCCACCCCCCCGCCCTGCCGCCGCCGCCCCGCGCTCCTCACTCCACCTTCTCCCGCCCCCGCGGCGCGCTCGGAACCGCCGCCTGCCCACCCGCGCCGCTCCCCGGCCTCACGCTGCTCCGCGCCCTCCGCGCTGTGTCTCGGGCCCGCCCGCGCGCGCTCCCTGCCTCGCTCGCACACAAAGAGAGGGAGCGGCGGGCGCGCCCCTGCTCCTCTCTCAGCGCCACGGAAGAGACGGGCTGGGGGCGGCGGGCGCGACCGGCCCGAGGGAAGCGCCTCCTGCGCCGGGATATACCACGCCATAGCGGGATACGGGTTTCGGGTGATACCATGTCGGCGAGGCGAGCCGGCGCGGGGCAACGTCGGTGGGCGCGGAGCGCTCGCCGGGGCCTCCGCCGGGGGAGCTGCACACGGCGTAGCGAGGGACGCTGGAGAAACGCGAGCTGCTGTGGTGCTGCGCGCTACTTTCAAAGCCCGGGCGGCCAGCGCGGCGCGGGGAGCGCCAGCCCCGGTTCACCGCAAAGCAGCGCGGTTCCCGGGAGGGAAAAGTGGCGACAGCTGCCGCGACCGAGGCTCGGACAGATGAAGTAACAACAGTATCAAACATTCCTTTTTCCCCCCACTTCCTTTCAAAAATCAAGTTTGGTTTTAGCCTCTCCCGAGCAGGTAGGTGTCAGAGCACAGGAGGATCCACAGCCGAGGCGGCGCGGGGAGCCGCGGTGCCGTGCGCGGTCCTGGACACCGTGACATGTCCGCGCAGAAACGGGGCTGAGCCCGCTGGAATCCTCGCACGCTCCCCGGGCGGGAAGTCACTGCCGCTCCCCAGGACTGGGAAAATCCTGCTCGTCAGCGGTAGCCCTTGGCAGTAATAACAGCAGTTTAGAAAGCAGTATTCCATACATTCAGTTGTCTCGTTTGTTAGTCCAAATAAAAGCGCTGGCTTTAACCTACTGATCAGTCAAAGACAGAATTTGGGCGACTGTTTAATTTCGATTGCAGTTCCTTTCATATGCATAAAGCTCCCACAAAATTATTAGAAGAGCACAGAAGAGTACTGGTAGTTACCAATTACCTGGCAACTCTTGTTGGCACCTGGCAGCAAATTGTGTAACAGTTATTTAGAAGTCTAAATACTTAGCTCCTTGGGAAAAAAAAAAAAGCTTCACTGGTTTATTACTCAAGTCTATGATGAAATTTATGCATTCTCCCAGACATTCCAATTGACTCTGGCTTAACGTGGAGTCACAAGCTCATCTATGTTACGATATTTCACAGCTTGATCTAAAATCTGTGAATCAGTTTCAAATTAGCCTTAATCATGATTTTACAATAAAATAAAATCTTATTATTGATATAACAGTCTTTCTACAACACAGGCAACATTGTTCAGACGTTTTGTGTTTTCAAACATTGCAGAGGCAATGGAATTTCACCAAGGTCTGCCATTAGAGTCTTACATACACTTGGTAATATAATTCAAACATTTTGAATAAAATTTTAATACAGATAGTTTCACCGCAAGAGCAACAAATGTTTCATATTTTGAATATGTAGGCCTTATCAAGAACATGTAGAGGTGATCTCCCGCACACTATGGAGGTGGTCCTTCATATTGCATTTGTAGTTTGGGTTGAAATTGCAGGGCTTAGCCACCATCTTCCAATAAATAGTCTCCAAGAAGCTACTAAACAAATGTTTTTTTAACAAACCAAAGGTATGTACCAGGTTGCTCAGCAGTTTTAAGCACTGTGGGCAGAGAACATGCTGCATTCTGAGCAGGAAACCTGGCAGTATACAGGAGACTGTTAAAAGAAAAAACTGCAAGAGTTCAGGAACAACATAAAAACAAAGCCCAAAGCAGCTCTAAACCATACTCAGGAAAGCCTGTGGCCTTTGTACTGGGTGCTGGCTTAAAGAGGTTGGAGCAGGAAGATACTCTTGTGTTTTGAATTCTCCCATAAATCAGAAAGCAGGAATTGTAATTAGAGACCCTGAAAACAGATTTAATTGCATCAAAGAACTCCTATTTCTTTACAATTTCCATCCTAAATAGGAAAGCATACAGGTTATTTTGCCTAGCTCTTCTGCTTAAGGACAATATTTACCTAAGTCAGTTTTCTGGGTTTTCAAGATGAGTGCAATGTGAATGTGAAAGAAATAATAGATTTGTTTACTGAAATAATTATTAAATGATGGGAAGGATTCAAGATGAAGACCTTTGGATTTTAAGCAATAAGTCTGGGGAGGTGACGTAGTATATGATTTCATCACAGTGAATAACTGCAGTGAATAACTGCACAGTGAGTAAAACCTGGGAAGAGTATCTTACACATTCAGTCTGTGGTGCTTTCCTTGAAAGATGATGAAACAATGGTGAGTAAGCAAATGGTTTGCACTGAGCTGGATTAAATTTAATAAATCAGATTTTCTTTGCTGCTTGTTCACACTCTCATAGATCCTCTCTGCAGAAAGGTGAATTTAATAATTAGTTCTATTACATCCTCCTACAGCCCACCCAAGATGCTGTTCCCCAGAAATGCTCTGAATTAATACCATGACCACATCTTCTGGCCACAGAACCACGAATGTTGAATGAAGGTTGGTGGAACATGAGTGAAACCTGCATTGAGCGCAGCCGGCCTGCCAGCACATGTTACTAATGGTCTTTGCAAAATGAGTAAAACTCCCTATGTTACAGCTCCAAGAAATGTTGAAGATAAACATAGAAGAATTTCTTAAGTCTCAAGAATCTCCTGAGCCTCAAAATAAAATATTGGCAGTTGAATTTCAAAGTTGCGTTTAAAAAAAGAAAGACAGTTATTTATTGCCAGGAAGACTGAATAGAAGGAGAGTTTCCTCCCCTTTCAAGTCCCATTTCTGAAGTGTCCAAACCATCAGACTCACTTGCTACATTGTCAAATTCGTGAGTGAAATAGAACAAGGGAGGAAAGAAATGAGCGCTGTAGAATTGTCTGAAATGGTGGTTCAAGACCATGCTGGGTTTTTCAAAAAACAGATGTCAGCTTGACAAGGAGGCAAGAGTCTCGATAACAGCACCCTACTGAAAACTGTTGGAAAACAAAACTCTGTGAGTGCACTTTTCAGCTTCATAACCGCAGTACTGTTGGCATAGCTTTTACAAAATTTACAGGACTTTAAGACATAAAGTTTGTGGTTATTGTTGATTTAACTGATTTCCAGTGCAAGAAACATACTATTGTACAGTCTCTGTTTGCATCTGAGTGTTTCCTACTCTGCAAGGACTTGTGAAAATGGGCCAACTGGTTCAACCAGATTTGACACAGGCTGAGAGTTTTCAACAATAGTTATGTTCCTACCAGTTTCTTAAACATAGGGAGCCGGGGGAGAGAGGAGAAAGAAAGACCTTGCAAGATCAATCAAAGGAAAGGCTACAGCAAGAGATCACCCCTTATAAGCCTCCAGATAATCCTGTATAAGCCACACAAGACTGAAACCTGATGAATATATTAGTCGCAAGAAAAGCCTGATTTTGAAGTTGCAACTTTCTTAAAGCCAAAGTCAGAGACAAACATTGGGAGGTTCACTGGATACTTTAATTACTAGAGTTCACAGCACAATTTTTAGTCTGAGACTCTAGTTTCTGTCTGACCAAGCAGTTCTATACAAAACCCTGAGTGTTTGTTATACCTCTCTATGTATGCATAACATACCTAAAGTATTTTTCAGATAAGAGATGACATTACTTTGAAACTGAGCCCAAATAAGAATGAGAGAGTATTCTTAATATTCAGATTCCCTAGTATTTCTTAAATCATAGCTATATCTGCGCAAAGAAAGAAGTATACAGAGCCTAGAGTTTAGACTGCCATCTAAAGATAAACCAATGCAGTTTAAAAGCAAAATAGAAGCATTCTGTGTATCTTTCATACTGAAGTATTAGTTATATTAGAAAAAGCAAAAAGGAGAATCATGATCTTACACATAGATTAGCTCTTTCCTTCAATTATTAATACTTTCAAATAAATAAGGCGGTATTTTGAGATTCTGTCAGTCCAAATATTGCTCGACACCATCTAGATTTAGAATATACACAGGAAAAAAAGTAATAAAACATTAAGAGAAAAAAAATTATGAAACAAATTGAGCTTCAAAAATTCAGTTATTTTTATATAGGTGTGAATTATAATCATATCAAATAAAGTGAAAACAAAATAATGAGATAAAATAGAACATAGAATTTAGATATAGGGTATAAATTACACCACAAAGAGAAAATAATTTGTAGCCAAATTTAGAGCTTATTTTGATATTTCCAAATCAAAACATTCAGTTTTTATTTTGAAAATAAATTCCTCATTTAAAAAAAATTACAGGACAAAATACATATAAAGTGAAACATTTATACTAAAGAAAATATTTTGCATTAACAGAAACTGATTTCATTTTTCATTTAAATGGAAAATATTGCATTTCATTTAAACTGAATGCCACCCCCCTTGTTTTTAATTTAGGTTTTGAATTCAATAATACATTGTTCAGATGTACCAAGAAATAGCAAACTTATGACTGAAGTATTTCCTATCTGTAAGGCCTAGGGCAAGTGGGAAAAAGAAATTTGAATTACTCCAATCCAAGCAAACAAGTAATCTATCAGAAGCAATCACCAAACTTCATGCTATTCTAAGATGATTAAAAGAAGAGTACCTGATGAATAAAAAGCTTTAACTGCATCTGCACTGGAGAAAGACCTGACAACCACCAGCTCAAAAATCTGATCTAATCTGAAAATTGCTATCAGACATTTGCCTGGTCACTTCTAAAACGGTTTTAAAAACCTCATTAGCAACTGGTAGTTTGTCACTGTTTCGGCACCTATTACTAAGGTATTCACTTTGACAGAATATTGATGCAATTAGACAGATCCAAGATGCATATCAGTACTCTCTGGGAAGATAAACAAAGTGTTTATTCTTTTCATTAGTAGGCTGAAGTGTCTTTTTTCACAGGGGTTGGAACCAGACTGGCTGATTTCCTAGGTGTCACAGCCAGAGCTATTTCAGAATTTGGTTCCTAGGTTTTCTGACTGCAAAGCTTGTTTTGTATTTCTGATTTTTGGAACAGAAGGATGAAAAGCCATTCACAGTGGCTTTTAATGCAGCAAATACCACTGAGAGATAAATAGTAAAATAAGGGACTTTTAAACATCTTCTTGATATATACTTGCCTCCAAGCCAGCACTAAGGCACAGGTTTACCGTGACTGATACCATCTAAAATGTTGAGCTGGCAAGTCCATAGCCTTCCACCAATGCTTGGAGGGCC